TTGTTTTTTTCCATTCGAGACTTGGCTCCAGTTAGTTACCGATTGTGTATAATATATTCTATGTTTGTTTCGGCAGATGATTGGGCTTATAAAGCCAAGTTCTGGGACTGCATACGTAGAAGGACTGGATATACGTACTGATATGGACAGAATATATACTAGCATGGGTGTGTGTCCTCAGCACGAGTAAGAATCACCTAAGCAACAAAATATAACATATTGACATTATTCTGTTTTTTTCGATATATACATATATTTAACGTTTTCGTAAACTATATGCAGTTTACTGTGGGAAACTTTAACGGGAAGAGAGCACCTACTGTTCTATGGAAGGCTTAAGAATCTCAAAGGGGCTTCCCTAACACAAGTAAGTTTGTACCAATCAAAAGCCTATTTCTCATTTCGCTATCCAATAAATACATAGAAGCAAAATGAGTCTGTCAATTTCTGTATTGTGCTATTAGGCCGTAGAAGAATCTCTGAAGAGTGTAAATTTATTTCACGGTGGGGTGGCCGACAAACAAGCTGGTAAATACAGTGGAGGCATGAAGAGGAGACTTAGTGTCGCAATTTCACTTATTGGAGATCCCAAGGTAAAAATGATTGATTGACTAAGGTCCTTGGCCGACTTTTGCTTGTTCCGTCGTTTTTTAGATGTAACTAGTTTTTTAACCACTGTTTTTTCAAAAGGTGGTTTACATGGACGAGCCGAGTACTGGGCTGGATCCAGCTTCACGAAACCTGTTGTGGAATGTCGTGAAACGAGCAAAACAAAACAGAGCTATAATCCTCACCAGTAATGTCCCACATCCATGAACACACACAATAGTGAACATAAAAATGTTTGCAATTTACGAATTACGTACATAATTCCTGAAAAAGGATTGCTTTCTAACTCATGCAATGTGGTTTGATACTCTTCAGCACATTCGATGGAAGAAGCCGAGCATTTATGTGATCGTCTTGGGATTTTCGTTGATGGAAGCTTGCAGTGTGTTGGAAACCCTAAAGAGGTAGTCATAGATAAACTAGTTTTTCGGGTGAATCACAAAGTTACACAAAATATATCCTTCACCTTTGCTCATATTACAAAACAAATTGCAATTTTGGTTCTATTTAGATTATTAGATTATGAAGGTAACAATTTAGGTTCCACTGGAGTGGAGTGACATAGAACAATTTAAGTCCTGTAACTTAAAACTTTGATGCAATTTCAGTCATTTGACGTTAAAATTCCCAATTTGACAGTCGAGAAGACTGAAATTGCAGCAAAATTTATAAAATAATAGTACTTAATTTGCTAATCAAAATCCATCCCAAATATATAAATTGGGAATTTCGTCCGCCAAAAGATTGAAATTGCAACAAAAATTTGAATTACAGGACTTAAAATGCTATATGTTACTCTACCTAAATTGCTACCTCACCAAATTTGCAATTTAGCCCAAAACAACCAAACCATACTTTTTAAAGATATAGCTAAACTTTCCCCCGTGCTTTTCCGTAATTTACCTTCTTAGTTTCGTGTACTGAAGTGACGACTGCTTCATTTTGTTTTGTGTTTTCGTTTTTTTCTTCTTCTTTTTTTTTTTTTTTCCTGTTTGACAGCTCAAGGCTAGGTACGGAGGCTCGTACGTATTCACGATGACAACATCTGCTGATCACGATGAGGAAGTCGAGAATCTGGTTCGACACCTGTCACCTAGCGCCACCAAAATCTACCAAATCTCGGGGACACAAAAATTCGAGCTGGCGAAGCAAGAAGTAAGAATTTCGGACGTTTTCCAGGCGGTGGAGAAAGCAAAGAGTCGGTTCGCGGTTCAGGCGTGGGGCTTGGCTGACACGACATTGGAGGATGTGTTTATTAAGGTTGCAAGAGGGGCTCAGGCGTTCACCAGACTCTCGTGATAGATAAGTGTTGACCATTTTTTTAGCTGAATTTTCCTCGTGTATGTGCTGATTTTGTGCTTCTGCATGATATGTTACTTCTCTCGTTTTTTGTGTACTGTGCATTTTTTGCTTTTAGCGGATGTAAATGCGATTGTATACTTTTGATTAATTAAATAGACACGATTTTTATATGGAAGTGGAGACGTGAAATGAGTGTTGAAAGTTAGAAAGTTAAGGTGTGGTTGGATATGGATATGATTGGTTTTTTTTTTTTTTTAATTATAGTTAATTTTGAAAAATGAGATATGGTTAGTTATTTGTGAGAATTTAAGTTTAAATTAAAATAATAATTAAAATAAAATATTTCTTGATCCTAAACAATAATATTATAGAAATGTCTCAAAAATGATATTATTGCAATGTCACTATGATATATATATATAACAAATTTCTCTATTATACCTATCCTAAATTTGGTCAAACGGTCAAATTCAAAATCAAAATTAGGTCTTTGTAATTAGCTTTTTCTTTCCCCTTATTTGTTGGTTACTTTTAGTCCTTTATCCTTCTTCCTGCATGATGTATGTGCTACTATTTATAGAGGTCAAATTATCTCGAAAAATCAGGTAGAAGGTAGCACCATTTATTCTGGCAAGATATACACAATAATCCTTATCTTATCAACATTTTTCTGATTTATCCAAATCCCATCTTTTTCTCATTTCAAAATTTGATTATATATAGTATATACATAGCATTGGAGCATATATTATTTGCAACTTATCAGAAAAAAAAAATAAAAAAAAAATCATAAAAACATGGCAAAAGCTTTTGTATGTGTCTTTCTTGTACTCATCATAGCTTTTGGGCTCGTCAATGTCTGTAAAGGTGATTATAATGAAGGGATTGGCATTTATGAACTGCGAAATGGCCATTTATCAGTGAACATCACTAACTATGGAGCCACCGTTCTAAACGTCGTCGTACCGGATAGAAATGGTAAGTTTTATTATTTATATTTCTTGTTTGTGACTTATGCGTTGAAATATTTTTATCTCTAATTTTTATTGTGTGTGCGTTTCTTAATAGTGACCAAATTAATTAATATTATTATTATTAATATTATTATTTTATTTTTATTTTTTTTTAATTTTGTGTGCGTGTTTCAGGTAAATTGGATGATATTGTTCTTGGTTTTGGATCCATAGATGCCTACAAGGTCAGCCTGATTAAGAAATTCTTTTCATTTTTTTTTTCTAATTTAGTGGAGCTTTATGCTATATTTGATACTAGATATTTTTTCATTTTCGTAAGAGGTTTTGTAGATTGTGTGTAGAGGTGTAAACGAGCTGCTCGAGTTTCTGTTAATCGATTGAGTCCGAGCTAGAGCCTTTATGTTAACAAAATGAGTTTGAATTCAGCTTGTGTATCAATATTAATAAGTCAGACTATACAAAAAATTATAAAAAAAAAATCAGTTTCTTTGTTTCAATTTTACATTCTATATGATAGAATTAATAAAGTAATTATGCTAATGAAGATCCAATCTAAACGATCAATTTATGATAAATACAACCGGTAATTTTTGGTATTGATAATTGCATACTTATGTAACCATATTCGTGATTTGATTTTGTACTACTTTTGAAGAATATGCTGCCTTCTTGAGATAAAGCGGATTTATACATTGATAAAACAATATATATGTGATGACTGAACTTATGGTTAAGCTAATGGATTTATACCGAGATGAAAGATCTTAAAATTCGAAATAAAATTAAAATTAGCCCAACTTAAAGGGCTTTGTTTATTTTTTTTCTTTTTCTTTGCAATTTTTCCTCAATGTCACATGCGAAACTTTCCTTCATTTATTTNAGAATGACACATCATATTTTGGTGCACTTATTGGCCGAGTTGCCAACAGAATTGGAGGTGCTAAATTCACCTTAAATGGCACAGTCTACAAATTGCCTGCAAATGACCACGGAAACACTCTCCACGGTATGTTTAATTAATTCTAATCTATCGAAAATGAAAAATCAAATTTGTTATTTTTGTGTACAACAATGCATAATTAAAATTAAATAAATGCTTATAATTTCAAGAAATTAATATCTCAGGTGGGAACAGAGGATTTAGCGACGTTATATGGACCGTACGTGAGTACGTAAAAGATAGTCACTTGACACTCTCTTATGATAGCCACGATGGCGAACAAGGTACAAATTAACATTCACAGTAACTATCAATTATTATTTTTAAAATTAGCAACTAATATTTCCAATATTTATCATCGACTTTGTGTACCAAAGAAAAATCATCAAAAATCGACACACTAATCACTCTTTTAAACTTTTCTAATTTGTCTCATATTACGACTCGGTATCTCACAATTAAAATTCGATATCACCTAAAAAGAAGTTTGACTCGTTAATTTAATAAACGAGATGGTCCCAAACTCACTGGATACAACTTGTTTAATTAACGAAAAACTGATACACTGATTTCCCTAACGATTTCTTTTCTTAATGATTTTAACAAGTTATTAGTCCACTAAATTCAGTGAAAACGTCAAATCATCATTTTGATCAGTCAATTGAATGGTCTTGTTTATAGTCTCCAGTGTTTTGAGTTTTTGGCCTCATTTTGTCGGGTGTTTTAGTTATATATTAATTGCATTCTCTATCGGTAGTATGTGTAAATCCAAGGAGGTGTGTATTTGATCTTGTGTCCAACTTTTAATTATTATAAAATATAGAAAAATGATATATTGTCAACTGTGTAAAACTAGGTTAACAACACAAGTGAAAATATCCAAATAAATAAAAATAAAAAATATACATGTGGATGTTTCCAGTTATTTTGTCAATCTAATTGTACATTAAGTTGGCAATGTAGTATTTCCTAAAATCTATACTTGTTTCTAAACAAAAAAAAAAAAGTTCAATCGAGCGGACAAAAAGTAATTTTTTTTTTCACGCAAATATCACGATTTTTCCGACATATAGGGTTCCCGGGCGACCTCCACGTGACGGTGACCTACCTCATCCTCCCGCCGAACAAGTTCGCCATCCGAATGCGGGCCCTGCCCGAAAACAAGTCGACTCCCGTCAACCTCGTTTCCCACACATATTGGAACCTCGCGGGCCACAAAAGCGGGAACATCCTCTCCCACACGGTCCAACTCGCCGCCTCCCGAATCACGCCAGTCGACGACCACCTGATCCCGACCGGTCAAATCTCCCCGGTCAAAGGCACGCCTTACGACTTTCTCGAGCCACACGTCATCGGGAGCAGATTCCACGAGCTCCCGGGTGGATATGATATTAACTACATAATTGATCACGGGCCGGGGCGGGCCGGGCTTCACCTGACGAGGGCTGCGGTCGTTTGGGAACGGAAATCAGGCCGGAAGATGGAGCTGTGGACCGACCAGCCGGGGGTTCAGTTTTACACGAGCAATATGTTAAATGAGACGGTCGGGAAAGAGGGGTTCGTGTACAAGAAGTATGCCGGGGTTTGTTTGGAGACGCAAGGGTTCCCGGACGCGGTTAACCGGCCGAATTTTCCGTCGGAAATTGTGGGGAAGGGGGAGGTTTATAGGCATGTTATGGTTTATAGGTTTACCGCAAGTTAAGGTGGTTATGAATGGTGACATGATTGAGAATGGTGTGGGTGATTTTAGTAAGGGTACTTGTGTAACAAATTACAGAATGTTTTATTAGTAGTTACGAGTGTGACTAAATAAATTGAATTAGGGTTTCTTGTGGGGGCAACATTTTATGTTTACCAAAAATATTGATAATAATGGTGATATGTGAATGTATAAATGTAGTTAAAAAATGAAATTTGTTATCATTGATTTGAGAGTTGGAGGGGGTAACATACTGAACCAATCAATTATGCATTGCAAATGCACATGTTGATCCAATCAGACAAATACACATTATTTCAGTAATCGTATGGTTAAAAAAAGTTTACCTTATTGTGGATTAATTGTTTTTTGGTGATAATATATACGCATATATGATATTGCCTATTGCCTATTGGTTGGCATTAGGGGTGCATACAATTTGGTTAACCGACCGAAACCGAAATTTTGATTTGGACCGAAATCGAAACTGAATTTTTGGTTCGGTTTTCGGTGTGCATTTTTTTTAAATTTCAGTTTTCAGTTTGGTTTGGATATGAATGTTTGGTTAACCGAACCGAACCGAAAATCGATACTACACATATAAGTTATAAAAGCCATATAATACCCAAGCCCATGTTTTTACTTTGCAGGCCCAACAAATTAAAAGATATTGAAAAAAAAGAGGAATTTGCACTCTCCACTTAAATAACCTAAAAATATTACATAATTACATATCTTATATAATTATTTACAAATTAACTAAATTTATTATATTTATTTGCATATATGCCTAAAAAGCTAATTTCCTATATACATGGCAACTTTCCATTCTCTCTCCTCTCCCCCCATCTTCTCTCTTCTTCAAAGACGGTATTTTCTCTATTTTCTCACACAAAACCCTCCAACTCCTCCGATCCCCCTTCACACAAGTCCGCCACATCCTCCGATCCCCTTTCCGCCGCCGCATCGGCCTCTGCCTCGCTCAAGCACCGCCGTCCCGCGGCTGAGAACATCCGCGACGAGGCCCGCTGCCACGCCTCGCCCCACGACTTCTCTGCTAAGTACGTCCCTTCAACGCCGACCCATTCTCCACCGACTCCTACTCCCTCGACGAGATCGTCTACAAGCCATCCCCGCGTCATCTCCAGGTAGGCGATCCGAGAATCATTTTCCATGGAGTCGACGAGAGATATAAGAAGTACCTTTCCAGAGGATGATTTATATTCAGTATATTTTCGTTATATTTTGTGTTCTGTTGTGGTATATTTTCGATGCAGGATAATTTCGGTATATTTTGTGTTGTGTTGTGTTGAGGTATATTTTCGGTATATTTTCCATGGAGTCTACTGTTTTGTGTTGTGTTGTAGTATATGTACAGTATATGATTCACGGTTTTTGCAGTATATGTTCCGTGAAATTGTTCTTCCTGTAATCCTCCGGTTTAGCTTGTTCTTGAAGTATATGTACCGCAAACTTGTTCTTCCTGTAATCTCCGATCGATCACCTCCGTTTTTTTTTTCTTTTTTTTTTTTTTGGGAGAAGAGAAGATGAACTAGTAGATGTTGGATAGAGAAACTATATACAACGCACGANTTTTTTTTTTGTTTTTTTTTTGTTTTTTTTTTTTATTTTCCTGGTCACGTTGCGGAAATCACGCACAGAATATATGGAATGGTGGACGTTACAAAGGCTTACAGATATTTAGGCAATCACGTAATTATTTTTTGTCCATTAGGTATACACCAAAATATTTGATACTGGATGCATAGTTTTTAAACCCGGCTCGGTGATCGACCCGGGCAGGTCCTCGGTCACCGGGTCACCGGTTCAACCGTCGGGTCACCGGGTCAATTGCTGAACCGGATAATTAATTTTAAAATTTTTAAAATTATATATAGAGTATTTTTATTATATAAATATACATAAAAGTAACAAAATTAAATGTTTTGTGTAAAAAATTTGTATATTAAAGTGTTAATAATATGTATCTCATGATAAATATTTACCATATAAACATATATACACAGTTTTACTTTTACAAAATAAAAAAAATAAAAAAAATATAAAAAATATATATGGACCGGGTCAACTGAGTTGACCCGACCGGGTCAATGTCTCGGGTCGGCCGGGTCTCGACCGAGTCGGCCGGGTTTTGACCGAGTTTGACCGGGTCCTTGGTTGCCCGGTCTAAATACTCCACCCGGACTAGTTTCGGCTAAGGGTCGATCGAGTCCCGGGTCGACCCGTCGGGCCAGTCCGGATCACAAAACAGTGACTGGATGGTAAAATTGAAATATCTTGTATAAAAATTTCCCTAAATTACAAAAGAATCACAAGGCAGGCCCAACCCAACCCTTTCCTAAATAACCAATTATTACATAGATAGAAGCCCTTTCATATTTTTTCTCCTCAGCTCGTCATCCGTCATCGTCATCGTCATCGTCATCTGACTCATCTCCCTTCTCCACAAAATCCAGACCAGAGATCGTAACTCCAAACGAAAAGTTGAAATCTAAACCATAACATCATCTTCGCCGCAACGCAATCACGCACTCCAATTCTCCGATCGCCGCGCTCCGTGCTCTGAAGCCCCAAATCGCCGCCGCGCTCGGTGCTCTGAAACCCTAAATCGCCACCCGCTCTTGCGCACACTCCACTCGGAACTCTACGAAGCTCGTCTTCTCACACAAGATTGCCACATTAATCTCCTCCTACGGGCTGCACTCGATTGAACCAATCCAAGCTCTCAAGGCAGAGATCAATTTTGTTCTTTCGGCTTTTACTTCTTGAATGCTTTATTTTATTTTTTCTATTAATTCGCTGCGAGTTGCTAAAATTAGAACCTGAGATTTGGTTAAATTGTAGC